ACTACTACTACTACTTACTTACTACACTAACTACTACTACTACTACTACTACTACTACTACTACTACTACTACTACTACTACCTACCTACACTACTACTACTACTACTACTACTACTTACACTACTACTACTCACTACTACATACTACTATACTACTACTACTACTACTACTACTACTAACTACTACTACTACTACTACTACTTACTACTACTACTACTACTTACTACTACTACTACACTACTAACTACTACTACTACTACTACACTTACTACTACTACACTACTACTACTACTACTCACTACTACTACTACTACTACTACTACTCACTACTACTACTACTACTACTAACTACTACTACTACTACTACTACTATACTACTTAAATACTATGACTACTACTACTTCACTACTACTACTTTTACTACTATCTTACTTACTTACTACTACTACTACCTACTACACTACTACTTTACTACACTACTACTACTATACTACTACACGTACTACTTACTGTAACTTTACTTACTACTTACTACTGATACTACTCTATACTACTTAACGTATCTTACTTGTCACATACCTTACTTACTACTTAACTTATCTACTTACTCTACTACTACTACTTAATACTATATACTACTACTACTACTTATCTACTCACTTATCCTGAATTAATCTTAATAATAATAATAATAATTTAATATATAAGTATATAGTGATTATAAAATAATAATGAATTAATAATAAAATATTCAATTAATAATAATAATAAAAATAATAATAATTAATTAATAATAATAATAATATTCAATAAAATAATAATAAAATAATTAATTAATAATAAAATAAAATAATAATAATATAATAATAATAATAAAATAATAATTAATAATAATATAATATATAAAAATAAATAATAATAATAATAATAATAATAATAATAATAATAATAATAATAATAATAATAATAATAATAATAATAGCCGAGATGGCTAACGCAATAGTACCGTGGCGATTTCAGAGAGAAGGATCGCGGGTTCGAGTCCCGCTTCGGACGTGGATGTGTTTGTGTATGTCTGAGTCACCCATTCCTTCTCCTTTATCATCATCATTTCATATCCCATACCCCCATGACTAGTAACCCTGCGGTATAAACATTGGATTCAGCTCAATGCTGATTACCCCAGAAAGGAGTCACATGCACTTGCCACCGGATAAATGTAACTGAGCATCGAATAAGTGTAGGTGAATGTCCGCGTGGTCCTAAACGGGCAATTCGGGACCAAAAAAAATACGAGTAGTTAATTGAACTCCTCTGATTACTTTGCAGAAAATGAACTGAAGTAAAGTAAAACATATTCGGAAAATCGAAATTCTCCCAAATCACAAATCACTGTGAAGACTGATTTTTACATGATTCTGAGAATATAATTGAAATAATTTTTTTCTACCAAGATCTTGACATAAATGTTGAAGTGGTTTATAAGAAGAAATCCTGCTGCCCTTCTTTAATTAAAAATATAACGGGTCACTTATAATTATAATTACTGAACTGGTCTGTGAAGGAACACGTGTTTCAGACGATCGCTGGACGATACGTTATTGTATTATATTTACTAATATTTGCATATATAAACATTCAATCTTCGATCTCAAAAAACTCGCTAACTTCACTTCGCTAACTTTATAATCAGGTTCACATTCGTTTGCTCGCGCTAGGCAAAGATCTGCTTGAAGAAGGTCTTGTCATAACGAAATGAAACAGTGAACAAATAAACCAGATAAGCGTTCATTCATTTAATTTATCATTTTATTAAACTTTATTGTTTCCACTTTAAAACCGGTTACTAACAGCATCGATAACACACCTGGGCAACATCCATTTCCTTTAAAACGAAAATCACAAATTTGATCACGAACAGTAGGATTGAACTCTATGAATAATAACGCTGGCTATTCTGTTATGAATACTGTATATGAGTAAAATACTCCTGTATTTTACGTAATGAAGATTAATTACACCAATTTTACCTACAGATGATAGGCGACGTCTGTTTGTAGATGGCGTTGATTCTACACAAACAGAGAAGTGTTGTGAATTCAGTACATATTACCTAGTTTGCAATATGAAAGCTTTAAGTCTAATTCTTAATTTATTTGGATTGAAATCGGTCTCTAATTTTCGATTTTACATGGTTTGTGATTTATATTGTTTCTGAATGTAAGTTGTCTTAAGAACATTTTTCATTGGTGAATATACCTTGCGTTGTACAAAAACAAGAATGTTAGCTCTTGATAATCAAATTACAGGTGCAGTACCAATGTCTAATGTGGGACTTTGATACAGTTCAAA